AGGCCCATTTTCGAAAGTTATGAGGGTTAGATACGGCAAGTTACAACTTTCGTCAGAATGTCGAAAAACGTTTAGCGGGTGAAAGAGCGAGTCGAGTGAGATATTCCACAGGATCGCTCAGCATGGCTTCGCAAAAAATCTATTTTGACCGCCATTACAAAAAAAAAACCGTTAGGCCACGCGCGCGGGAAAATCGTAAAGAGCGCCGGTACACAACGTGCTAATCACTTTGTGACTCGACTCTTCCTAATTCGACCCAGGGAGATCTTTCGGATCGTGACCCACTTTTGAGGTTTTTTTGCATGATATAGAGGCAGCAAAACGTGGAGCTATGGCTCATTTTTCGCGGCTCTTTGAATGCAAAAGAACTGGGTTGGGAAAGTGCAAGCGCTACACCTCTCTGATACCAACTTTTGGTAAAATTTGCTCATATGGGCTATAGATAGTTTTTTGCGGTAGTTAAGCAACCATTACTACCCTTGTGTAGCATTTTTGGACTCCTTGCAACGGCAATCGGATACGCATACCTTTGTTAATACGAGGAATTAAACATTAGTTTGGAAAGAAAGTTCTGCAACACTCTTTTAAAATTTTCTTTTTTTCTGAAAAATTCATAGGTGACATTTATGACATTTATGACTACAGGGTGCGCCAAAATTACGGAGACAACGCATGAGCAAACAATTTGAACTGATATTCACAGATGCTGTTTTCTTCTGTCCTAGTTTTGGTACTGTGGTGTAGAATTGTTTATGCTTACCTTGTTCAACCACCAAAATCTATGGTAGCTGCAGCGGTTGACTGATACTGACACCGTCCCTAAATCATTGGACTTCGACGTTGAGGGTTTTTGGCACGCGACAATTATCATCGTTTTGGTGTATACCCGAGCACTATCAATAGATGCTCCAAGTGGTACAGGGGACAAGGAGCTGAATGCAGTCATTCTGGATGAGAAGGGCGTGTTTCTGTGGCGACCACGAACAATCTAAGGATTGTGTGCGATAGAATTTGCAGGTAGTTGACGCGCTGGTTTCACTGGATGTCACGAGAGATAGGAATCAGGGGGCTCTTTTGGACTTATCAGAGCCCATTGCTATCCTGAGTTTATTTTCACTTTGAAAATCGTTGCTGGGCCTTCCATCAAGTAGGAGCTCCCGTTTACGAGGCAAGGGTGGTTCAGTACTAGTGCAGCATTGATGCAGAACCGATTTTTTCGACTTTGTCGGCTTAAACGGTGGTAGAACAGCATTTCAGATCTGAGCTCGATAGGGTACGCTGTCGGATCCGTTCTAGAAGCTGAGGCTTGCAAAAACACATTATGTCTAGGGATTGGTTTGAAAGATACCGCTCCGAATGAGCTTTGACGCACGAAGAGTCTGGTCCTGAAATTGAAAACGGTGCCCAGTCGTGGTTACGTCGTAATATAGTTTCTTGAAGGACGGCGAAACACACAAAGGAATTTCAAAAATTGCATGGATGTCGACGATTCACAATGTTACTGTGCATGTTACTGCATTTTTGTTTTCAAAGAATTGCACCTTGCTCATCCTAGGCAACTCGAAGTCGCTGTCTCCGTAATTATGGCGCACCCTGTAGTACATGGTATCCGTAAGCGTGAGATTGTGTCATAGAACCAGCGATATAGATAGATATAAGTAGGATGTGTTTGACCGCTACAGCGTGTTTCACCTTTACTAGCGCTTTCGATCTTTTATATTTCCATAAGAAGCAATCAGCAGCGCTACACACTCCATTAAAGGAAGGGCTCCAACGGAAGCTCATTTACAAATTATTCGTTATGGGCACCATTGGTAGGTAGAGGTCTATGCTGCGGAACTCCAGAAGTTGGTCGAGGCAGTCTCAGAGAACCATCCGATGCGCGCTGCTCAATGTTATTCTTGCTTTCATGGACCTGGGCGAATTACCATAGATGACGAATGCGTCCCGACGAGAATCAGACGCAAGACGTAAGGAATTCGGCGAAGTAGCAACAATGTATATTACTCTTATAAGGGATGATTACCCCCCAGGATCGAAGCTTGATTGATCTGCCTTAATTCTGAACCTCAAATATCTCTGACGACGAATATAACAGACAAAAGCAAGCAGTCACGGGGCCTCGGTAAAATTGGAGGCGCAAGTACCTGTTCTTGAACCTCACTCTGCCGGTTTTGAGAAAAGGAGGCACGAGATTTCAATGCGGAAGACAAGTGGTGGACACTCATGGTAGATATGTGACTGATCGGAAGTTGTAAACAAAAAAAATAAAATTAAGATCAGAAATTCGGAAAAGCGTTGCAGGACTTTCTTTCAACCTAATAATAACCAAGCCCTTGTCCTTTTTTGGTATTTAGAGCGGCAAATGAAAAATGAAGTGTAATCCTACGTTCCTCATACGTGTCTCTACATATGCTGATGTATTACGGAAGCGCGTCTGTCGAAGCACAGTAAATAAATAAAGAAATAACACAGAAAACCGTTCTGCATTATGAAGAGACGGGAGAGAAAACGGGGCATGAAACATCCTTGGGAATGTGTGGTTGGCCAATAACAGTAGCTTGCGCGTGAAAGGGGAAAAATGCAAGACACGATATCGCTGACTCATACTGCCAAAGATAGCGAGCATCCCATCTTCAAACGCTTTGAAAAGAAGACGATCAGATTTAGCAGCAGCTCACCCTGATTTAGCCGCCCCAGAAGCCAACGCGCAGGCGATCTTTTCGATCGAGCATATTAGTTCAGAGAATTTTCTCAAATAAGGACCGGCAAGTGAAACTTCAACTGATGGGATAGGAAAAGTTTTCTTAGTCCAATACTCAGTCATTGGAGGAAGTTCTGCTACAGCGTAGAAATAATTATGCAAATATAGGCGAAATTTTCAAAGTACCAGTCTAATATATAAGGCGTTTATACAACAGAGGTCAAAGTTCTGCCAAAAAAGTTTGAATTACTGAATTTTTGACATATCTTGGATTTGGAAGAAACCGTCATGCGTAGCTTTCCAGCTCTAAAGCGAACCCCTTGAATACGACTTCCCCCAGATTGACCAAATACGATCCCAAAAAGCGTTCCGTGAAGCATGCTTGACCCTGCTCCACGGACAAGCTGCCAAGGTGGCGATGGAGGTGTCGTATCCACGTTATGTCGAAGAAATATCTTGTTGGAAACTGAAGGAACAACACTACTTCCTATTATTGACCTATGCAGTACCTGGTTCGTTAAATTCTCTTCCGCGGGTAGAGTATCTCGCAAAGCCAGAAGAGCATGGCGAATCAATTCATCAGCACTCGCTGAAATTACCAAACCATATATCACTTTATACATGAACCCTAATACAAACAAACAAAAAAACATAGTGGTTCACGAATTTTAAAGCAGCATGAAAATTTTTCAAGGAGTTTCAAGAATATCAGGAAGTGCATTACAAAAATGAAAACTGCGCGAGCCTCGTTAGATGAAACAAGGGAGACGAATCCTCCTGTTACTTGATTCTGCAGATGAAAGAAACCACCTGTTCGGAACTTGTCCAAATGCCTCTCCAAGTAGGTTCTTGCCGACTGCGACCGAGCACCGATGGATGACGCGAACATTTCGACAACCTCCGCCGAAGGATCCGACTGCACAATGTGAGTGCCATCCTTCTGAAAAGAACATGTTATCGAGGTCCAACAAAATTTAAGTATTCCAAAAATTGCTCTCAATTCAGACAACAAAAAGAATCAAGTAAAATAAAAATCGCGAACAGAAATGAATATAAGGAAATAAAATGAAGAAAAGCGCTGTGAGCTCACATCGTATCCAGCAATCAACAAGCCGACTCCAAAGGGTCGACGGCCGTAATACTGAGTGTTAGCTTGTAATTCTAAAATGAAGTGATAAATGGCGAAGCTAAACGATGGCACGCTACAAACACAAACGTACAGCGTTAGTTGAAAATCAGAAAAAAAAAGATCTGAGACACTCTTCATAACATGTAACTTCTGTTTGATTGCAACTCTCGAGCTGAACAAAATGTCACTTACTGAGTTGCACGCTGTCCGCCAACGATGAAATAGGAACGGGTAATTTATAATCCCATCGCCAGCTAGAGCATTCTGTTTGAAGAAATCTGTAAAAACGTTATATCTGGTGGACGTCGTACCGCCCTCTGAGAGGAAGAAATGCTTTTCTTTCCTCACAAGGGAAAAATATTCATAATAAAGGGAGTGACGAAGATCGAGTAATTTTCAACCACCTTTCCACCTTGCCTCTTACATTCACATCTACTTCACACTTTTCTAAAATTGACCGGGATACGCAACAATAGGAATAATACATCTCATTCAACGTCCATGAACAGATCAAATACGACCTCCCTTTTTCCGTCATGGATCCCTGACCCCACAAACCGTAACGACTGAAAGAAATTTGCAGACTTTGGTGATGGAGCGCTCAGCGATAAAAGAAGGAAAGACTGACCGAATTCCACAACGAGCAAGAAACTGCCAAATTCCTAGCCTACGCACTAATAACTGATGAGCTGGAATCCTTACGCAAACAGCGACTCACTGTTCAATGAGAAACATTAGTCATTACACATTTTCGATGCAGAGCGTTTCCTCGCTTGAGAGGCATCCGTTGGCGGAAGCAAGTGTCCTTATGTTAACCCCGTGTTCTTCCCGGAGCAGCTCGTGGAGGTTCTAGACTTCTAAGCGGCTTTTGAAGACTTCAAATCCCAGCACTTGAGAGACACACCAGTCGGACGGATCAGAATTATTATAACGATGATACTCTTGACCACCACTGCATGTTCAATCGCAGAACAGTGCGAATAACGGCCTAAAAATCCTGGCGATGGCTCTGCACTACATGAGAAGTGTCGAGAGTAAATGTGCACGCGAGAGAGCGTGACAGAACAGACGAAAATCCTTGACTGAATTCCACCCTGTTGCAGAGATAGCGGCCGTAAAATACCTTGAAGTTAACTCGGAGGACGACAGTGGGTGACTTCCCACATCCGGTCCATTACATGCAGAATGGGACTTTTGCGAGCGCGCGCTTTCTATACAGTGCGTCTCCTAATTATACAGCCACCTAGAAATTGTTGAAAATCTCGAATTCCACAAAGTTTCTGGAAAAATGTCCAACAGGAAAACTGTGTCAAATTTGGTCGCGAATTCGAAAATCAACACAAAATTCCAGGTTGAAAATGCGAAAAAATTTTTATCCTAATTTTTCCAAAAGCGTCGCTTTTCCATCGTCTCCAAATGATACAGCCACCCCGTGTTTCTTCGTTGCATTTCATTTCTGATCGATGAAACTGATTGGCAGTCTCAATTGTTCTTTCTTAGGTTATCAGGAAAGGAAAGCAACTATTGGACTTTGAAAAAGGGGAAATCGTCACAAAATAAGAAAAATTAAGCGCCAGGTGGTCACATTGCGCGAAATTTCGTCGAAACTACGGAATGATTAGCAATTTCTTTTTGAATCCTGTAGGAAATGGAACTTAGAAGGGCTCCGGACGTTATTCTTTGCTTTTTGATTAAGATAAACGCGACATTATGAGAACAGCACCAAATTTCACCAAGGCGTGTTCGGAAGTTGAGTCTTCTTTAAAACTTAATCTCCTACTGGATAGTGCTGGGAATGCAATAAACAACTTCCAAGATCGTTCTCAGCTGAATATGAAAAAGGACGGTGATTTTGAAAAGAAACCGTCGCGAAAACCGAGTCATTTTTGCAAGGGAAGTTCCGACCAAGCCAACCGGAGCAGGATCCATTTTCGGCCTGTTCTGTTTTACTTCTTATCTGCTTTACCTTCGAGTTTTTCCTCGCTAATAAAAGCATTCCTCCAGGACGGAACCATCTGGAGCGAAACGCGTTAAAAGAATGAAGAACAAGGCCGAAAATGGATCCTGCTCCGGTTGGCTTGGTCAGACTTCCCTGCAAAAATGACTCGGTTTTCGCGACGGTTTCTTTTCAAAATCACCGTCTTTTTCATATTCCGCTGAAGAACGATCTTGGAAGTTGTTTATTGCATTCCCAGCACTATCCAGTAGGAGATTAAGTTTTAAAGAAGACTCAACTTTCCGAACCGCCTTGGTGAAATTTGGTGCTGTTCTCATAATGTCGCGTTTATCTTAATCAAAAAGCAAGAATAACGTCCGGAGCCCTTCTAAGTTCCATTTCCTACAGGATTCAAAAAGAAATTGCTAATCATTCCGTAGCTTCGACGAAATTTCGCGCAATGTGACCACCTGGCGCTTAATTTTTCTTTTTTTGTGACGATTTCCCCTTTTTCAAAGTCCAATAGTTGCTTTCCTTTCCTGATAACCTAAGAAAGAACAATTGAGGACTGCCAATCAGTTTCATCGAGCAGAAATGAAATGCAACGAAGAAACACGGGGTGGCTGTATCATTTGGAGACGATGGAAAAGCGACCCTTTCTGGAAAAATTAGATAAAATTTTTCGCATTTCAACCTGGAATTTTGTGTTGATTTTCGAATTCGCGACCAAATTTGACACAGTTTTCCTGTTGGACATTTTTCCAGAAACTTTGTGGAATTCGAGATTTTGAACAATTTCTAGGTGGCTGTATAATTAGGAGACGCACTGTAGTTTACGCCCACCTTGTACAAACTGCTGCAGATCAATACACTGTCACCAGTACCTAACAACTTACGAAGTTTACTACAACTTAATAATTTCTGATTGCGGGTGAGCTCTATAAGCAACAAATATGTAAAGTAAGAGTTCACGCAGAAGAAAGGTAGGAGCGGGGTGCAGAAGCTCCGGCTGGGGACGAAGTCATATCCCCCACCAGTAGAGTGTCAGCGGACTCGTCCCTGACGGCAGAGGCCGACGTATCGATGGCTTATTTCTGGGTTTCTGAGGGCGACGTTGAAGTGTACGACCGATGTGATGGTATCGATAGGATGTCGATTGTCCGTTTGGGATCAAGATAATAAAACTTGCCATAAGATAATCAGATGCTGAAGAAAGAGACTAGGCATCAAGCAACTGGAACTTTCGGAAGTCGTTCCTGTAGCGGCACCTCTAGGCTACCAGTGGTGGCCGCTACGCTGAGTTCGAAGAGTTCCAACTGCGTTTCCCTACAAATGCAGCTTCGTCGATTTAAAAATCAAAATATCGCGCAGTGCAATTTGATCACCGACTAATGTTGGCCAACAGCCGGCAAATTAAACTTGAAGCAGACCTCTCAACGATATCTGAGAAAATGACTGCAAGAGGTCTATATCTATATTCAAAGTCGCCCAAATCAATGTCCGATGTGGTTCCACCTCACGAGGGAAGGTCATCAGGTCGGTCCGGCCATTTGCAATGAGTCGTATACCGTTGAAGTCGCCTCGAGGCGCTGAGCTCAGAACTGCCTTCCTTATCTGCTAAACGATTCTTTGAACGTAGTTATAAAGCAAGGAAGCGCAGTGGCAGTGCCCCGAACTCGCGAGCAAGAGGTCGTGGGAACGGTTCCTCGGAGAGTCTGTTTCTTTTGTGCTTCGTGAAGATGTAGCCAGAAAGCTTCTAACTTCAATTTATCAACTTGCCATTAGTTCCCTGTACGAAGAAATTTCGAGCAGTTCCTTGCAGGTTTGGGCAGTGTCCGGCATTTGTCCATGTATGAAATGGTGCCCGTAATGCACGTGTCAGGCTTTTTCGCGGCAAACAGGCGTGATATTCGTGTTCAGGGATCAAACTACCCTATAGACAAGTTTCCTACCAAATCTGAGATTTTGACCCAACTATTAAAATTAGGTGAGGTGAGCCAACCATCATCAACCATCATATCATCAATTTATCGTTGAACCCTTGGGATGGAAATCGCCCCTTCAACCAAGATTCCAAAAAAAAAACGTTCAGCTGGCTTACGATTTCAAATAATGGGGAATGATTTACATGGCTCTGCATCCCAATTCGGGGGTGGTGCTTTTGCTTTCGATTCATCCTTGTGTGCGCATAACTGACTTTGGTGACTGCCCTCTCTCGAAGATAGGTCAAAATCTCAGATTTGGCTGGAAGCTTGTTCCCAGGGTAGTTTGCCCCTACCCCCTGAACACGAATATCATACTGGTTTTGCAGAAAAACGAATGACTAGGGAGCTGTGAGCATCGTGGGCAGTCATGGGCAAATCGTGGCCAGAGTCCCCATTGACGAAATAACGTCGCTAAAGGCCTTTTACTCATGCTCTCAAAAAAACCACTCCAAAACCACTCCCACCATCAGGAACCGATCCCATGACATGTCGCCTACGAGGCTGGAGCGTCACCAGCTACACCATTGCGCTCCTCATGTGAGTCCTATCCTCGCTAGGTTCATGAAGGCGGCTTTATGTAATAGCACTCGAATATAGCACACATTAAACACAGTGCTGAAGAGAGTTTGTAACTCCGTTCGGACTACCGCTTAGGAGATATGAAAAGCAGTGTAGTCTCATCGTCTCAAGACGAATGCAGTGATGTACAGGGTGGGGCAAAATTACTGGTGCACTAAATTTTCAATGGCATTTTGACAATAATTCTCACAAATCAATTCTAATTATCAATATTATTTACTACAAACATGACAATACAAAAAATGTTAATGCTTCTCAAAATGATCTCCTTTAGCCTTCACACAGTCCTTCAGACGTTCGACAAATGCTTCGCATGTGGCACGCAGGTACTGGTCATCGATTTCGTCCCAAGATTTTGAAAGCGCCGCCTTAAGAGAGTCCAAGTTTGGATGTCTGGTAGAACACGCTTTGCTCTCCAAGATGGACCACACAGAGTAATCCATCGGGTTAGATCAGGAGAACTGGAGGGCCATTCGTCGTGTCTGATGAAGTCGGGCAGGTGCTCGGCGCACCACTCCTGGACCATCTTTGCTTTGTGTGCTGGAGCAGAATCCTGCTGGAAGCACCAGTAGGCTTCTCCGAAATGGGAGTTGGCCCACGGCTTGAGAACTTCCTCCAGGATATTTTTGTAAACCTCTGCGTTGATTTTTACACCAGCTTCAACGAAAACAAGTGGGGTCTTCCCCGTAGAGGTGACTCCTCCCCAAACAAGAATGGACTGGGGGTGTTTCGCTCTTTCCTGGAGTCTTGCCTTGGTGGTAGCATCAGCAAGTGATCCTGCAATAATCCTCTTTTTGGGAGTTGAAGGCTGGATTCAGAGTAAAAATCTTTTCATCACTGAAAACGATGTCTCGGGCGCGTGCCACCGTGAATCGCTGCAGCAACTTCTTGCATCTCTCCAATCTCCTTTTCTTCATAATGTCCGTCAGGAGTTGGCATTTCTGCAAGCGATAGGGGAACTTCCTTAGCTTACTTCTGACAATCCTCCTCATTGACCTCGCGCTTACTCCAACGTCTTTCGCCATCTGGCGCATCGATCTCCTGGCGTTCCTTCGAATTCTTTCTCTGACGAGCCTCACATTTCTCCGACTCGTAGCTGTTGTGGGACGTCCTCTTCCTTCCCTGTCCTCTTCGGTCTTCAGTTCTTTATAGCGTCGTACTGTATTCTGAACCGTCCTTCGAGGTACGGAAAGGATCTTCACAATTTCTCTTGTTTGCTTGCCGTCGTTGTGAAGTTTGATGATCGCGCTCCGTAGGTCAGAACGACGGACCATTTTGTATTCGAGTACGTAGGAATTACGCAACCTCCAGGCAACATATCACAAGCGAGTGAAACAGGAAAATCTCCAAGAAGTGTTAAAAAATTCAAAACGTATAGGTGCACCAGTAATTTTGCCCCACCCTGTACACCTCGTTGCGGATGGCCGGACTGGCCTGATGATCTTCCCTCGTCACTCGTAATCAACACCGACCGATTCTGTCAAACCTGAGGCGAAATATTGGAATGTGAGGACTCTTCGAAGCTCAAATTTGCACGACATGATTGTGTGAACAGTTGTGACGAGGATTCCAAGCATAATCACTGCCGTTTAGTTCCAGGTACAAGATAAGAGTTTACCAACTTCGCTGCAAGGGCTACGGCTGCAAGGGCTACAAATTCCTGACGAACCGTAGAAAACCGAGAAATCAAATGGCAAGTACTTTTTAATACGAGTAGGTAGTAAGTTCAGAAGAGCTACGCGTTACCATATCTGGGTGAGGGTCGCCAGCACAGAACGCGAATTTGCCGCTTTCGCTGCGGGAACCTGAGCGAAAATCGGTCGAAGGTTCGTCAACAGCTCGTCAAGGATTTTCTTTTATTCAGTGACGCTCTCCGCGGACATTCACTCTCGCCCCGCGAGCCGTCTGTGCTCTCCGCGCGTACATTCACTCTCGGCACTACTCTCACAAAGTAAAGAGCCATGGTCGAGAATTCCATAGACCGCTATCCACGTTGGCGGAAGCCCCAGGTCCACTAGTGATCGGGATAGGCTTTCCAAAACTTACTGCTTGTATTACAAAATCATAATTTTCTTTGATTTCCTCGTTCATGACAACCCATAATTCTTCATTCCACAAAATTCCGTAACTCTTGCGGCGAAGTTAGTCACTTTCAATCCCATACCTAAACCCTTTATAGTGATGATCATACTTGGAGCAAATTTGAAGTTTGTCGAGTCTTTCAATCACTTTGCGCCAGGTTCGACAGAACCAAATGCTGTTTATTACACGGAGTAGATCCACATCGGACAATGACTTGGGCGAATTCGAATGTAGAGAAACTTGAAATCATTTTGTAAGACACCTTTATGAAGGCGGCCTCAGGTCCAAATCTGTCTCTTATCCAATTGCACTGTGTAAAATTCAATTTTGTTGCAAGCTTGAGGCTGCATTTGTAGATAAACATACACTGGTGTGCAAAACTTAAGGACGAGATGGATAAATTGACCTAACTTATTAACAATTAGATGGAATTGGATGAAACTGTGCAAGCATAATGCTAAAGCTCACAGTCATGGGCACAAAGTGGGCCTCATATGTCTTGCATCCGGCTTCAATCTGGAGCCAAAAGGGAGTGGCCACGCAGAACGAGGGGTTTGGTGGGACAGGACAAGAGGGAGTGTACTGAGCAGGGAGAAGTTACTGTGGAATGTAGTGGTGTTCTTGATTACAGCAAGTCTCAGAGACAACACTAGGGTGACTTCACGCGAGGAAGAATCACCGGGAAACTGGAAGAAGGAAGATTTGTAACGAGTGTGGTCCAGGAGTTTGATGTTGCTCACACCATTGTTTTGTGCGCATAAGGAGCAATATGGACTGCAGCCACTGCTGCCCCTAGAAGAGTAGGTGGTCACGATCAACCGCAACAGCAGGTGATTGCTAGTTTTGCAACAGGCAAAAATGGACCCACGTCAGTCACAGCTGCAGTTGCAAAAACATTTATCAGGATTGTAAGGCATGTAATCCCAGTCCGAACAGTGGCACAGTGACCGCATAGGGATGGTCTCTCTGACCGACCAACAGTATCTGGTGTTCCTTCGAAACCCGCGCATCGGCGGGAACATTTGCTAGGTGCCGGGACATTAGCGATGGACCACCGATTTGGAAATCGCGTGTTCTTCTCAGTTAAGATCAAATTGGATGTAAGTAGTGATTTTGGACTTACCCGCATGTGGCGAGAATAGGAACATGTAATGCACCCAGGACCATCGTTCAACATGATTGTTTTGATAGTCCATTCGATATGGTGTGGGGAGGCATAAAGTTGCAAGGGCGTACCAACCTCCCAACTCCTGATCGCGGAATGCTTTCTGATCGACGTTATTGTGACGCTGTACTCCTCACTTATGTGCATCTTTTCAAGGGTGCCTTTGACCTCAACTTCAATCGTATGGAGGACAAGGTGCGAGAGCATCGAGCAGCCTAGGTGGAAAACTCTTGGAAAGCGAGGATTTCCGGCGATTGGTGAAGCCTGCCCGCTTTCCCCAGTCACAATCCTATGGAGCACGTGTGGCTTGCATTCAGGAGAGCTATTGTAGGGCATTCTCTGGCGTCAACAACAT